CATTCGTTTTACAGTCATATACTGTGTACACACACATTAGTTTGGAACGATATATTCATATGTTAGTGTTGTGTATGCACTATAAAAACTATGACAAGTTGTACATTACTTAATTAAAGCTTACACATTATATTGATGGAAGCAGAGTATACAATGTTGGTTTTATGCACTGCAGTATCCATAAGGGGCATAGAGCACTTTGTATTTTGCACTGCGATCGTGTTTTTTGGACTGTTTGTTGTTGTAACATTCTTACCCGCACCAATTGGACATCTGTCAAAAAGAGCTTTATAGCACATCGGATTTCTCCAATATAAAGAGTCTGCATTTATGAAACTATATACTGTATGTTCGTGCATAGCTATGATGTGGTCGTGTACACTACAATGAATTTACATGACCTATAAACTAATACACTTTTTTTTAACCAGGTAAGGCCCACTGAGCTATATATGTAGCTATTTTTCAGAAGCGACCCGGCTGCCACAAATGATAGCTCAACGAAGTGGCGGATCGCGTGGACATTTATAGCGGCCAAGAACTCTAAACGCGTGGATGTCGATTCTACAATGTGGAGGCAAAGAAAAGTGGTGTTGCGTGCAGAATGCGCACTACTGCACGTGTGTGGGGAGTGCGTTGCCTTGGTAAATGGCATGGTGCTGCTGTTCATTATCCCACATATATGAATACACGCATGGGAACACGTGTCGCATGTTTAAAACTTCTTGGCGTCAACGTCGCCTTATTTTCGGAGCGGGACATTCCGCAGATGACTTAGACAAGTTCAGATTCGTAAAGCAGTCAGTCTGCCTGTATGTCGCCTGTTGCCCGTCTGTCTCTTTGTATGTTTTGTCTTTCTGCATGTGATTGTCCATCGTCTGTCTATTTGCATGGATGTATGTCTGTATGTCTATGTTCATATATACATATGACTGTCTGTCTGCGTCCATGTGTCAGTCGGGCTACCTAACCGTGTTTCTATTGCTCCGTCTGTCTCTCAGCGTTCACACATTCACACCACTCTGTCTGCCTGTGTGCGCATCTGTCTTTCTCTTTGCATCATAAGTTTTGAATGTACGTACATTTTCTATCCGTCAATGTGTCCGTCTAAATTGATAAGTGCCGTGCCCGTCTGCCTGTTAGTTTGCGCGTCTTTCCACACGTCCGCCTGTAAGCCTGTCGGTCTGCGTGTGTGTGTGTGTCTATCTGTGTCAAGGAGCACGCTTCGATTTCGTGAACATCTCCCCTCTGAGACTGACGCCAGCAGCCACCTCGGCTCTAGGGCTGAACGATTAATCGATTTCAAATCGAAATCGCAATTTGAAACAATGCTATTAGCAAATCGTAAAGGCTGCGATTTGAAAAGTCCTATTCATTTATCATTGGAATTGTTATATATTTTTATCATTATTACTTTATTTATTTAACTTAACGATTGTTATTTGTTTGATTGTTCTATTTCAATGAAAACATTTTAATAAATACATGTTGGAAGCAATTCATATATTTTAAGTTCTCATCCTTGCATTAGAATATATAGAGCACGTTCATACTTTGATGGTATCAGGTGGCAATGCTCCATCACATGTTTTAAATCTATTACACAGTGAATATTGAACTGAAGCTTGACTTTTAAAAAAATCGCAAATCAAATCGCAATATCTGTCAGAAAAATCGCAATTAGATATTTTCCCCAAATCGTTCAGCCTACTCGGCTCCAACGCGCTCTGTTTGTGATGCTGCGTTGGCAGTGGTACATAATAAGGAAAGACAAAGACCTCGCCCCCCCCAAATAGCCTTAACATAAATACAAATGTCAACATACACAAAAAGATAGGGCCCTTGGCCGAAACGTCGCCTATTCTTTATTGTTTTCCCTTTTAGGGAAGTGTTATTGGCGTTTGTACTTTGTACACTTCACAAGAGTGCTTCGTGCTTTTTTTTTCCTGTGCAAAACGAGACCGACTCTGCCGATGAGCCCCCAAAAGGTCAAAGCTAGAGTTTGCTTGCTTAAACTTGCGCTGCCAGAGTTAACACAAGACTGAATGGCGGATAGGTCGATCGACTGAGAGGTATTTTAATTTGTATACAGAGATACACAACACCTGGAGGTGGCTCGTTGACTCCACACGAGACGAGGTCACTTGACTCTCGACAACGGAGTGTACGAGAACTCTGTTGGCTCAATCTCTTCTGCTGCCCCGGAGTCTGGAGATCTCCCCCAGACACCCGTGCGGTCGACTCCACGCCCCGGTTTCATTCCAGACTCAACGCTGCATTGTGTACACTCGCACAGATTCACAGGGAGAGCCATAGACGCACATATAGCAGCTATGCCTTAAACGCATCTTTGTCGCTATTAAATAACTGCGCCCCGCGGTTCATGTACAGCGACTTCAGATGCGGTCACATGGGTACGCAGCGGTGTAAATCCACATCGTATTTCAATTTATATAGGCAAAAAGAGAAGCACACTTCTAAACTAAAGTATTTGTGTTATATTATCAAGAAAGGTCCACTGAGCTATATAGCTCTTTTTCCCGAAGCAACTTGACCACAAATGATAGCTAAACGAAGTGGCTTAGCACACGGACATGAATAGCAGCCAAATAGCGCGATGTTGTTTCTAAATGTGGAGGGAAAACCCGGAGGACCCGGAAAAAATCTACGCGATCACGCGGAGCGAGACACGCAAATTCCAAATATGCAGAAGGCGTCAGGGTCGGGATCGAGCCCACGACCTCCTGCATACAAAGCGAGGTAGTTAACATCTCCTAGCCACCACAATTGGGTGATGTAGCTGCGTTAGCAGTGCTGCAACGAACACAATTAACAAATCCAAACTCAAAACATTCGTCAATGACACTGTGTGACCTGAAACAGAAAAATACTTTCGGAAATGTGCGTGTGCGCGTGAGTTTACGTGCGTGTGTGTGTTTACGTGCGTGTGTGTGTTTACGTGCGTGTGTGTTTACGTGCGTGTGTGTGTGTGTTTACGTGCGTGTGTGTGTGTTTACGTGCGTGTGTGTGTTTACGTGCGTGTGTGTGTGTTTACTTGCAGGGGGCGGGAGTGTAGCGGTTAGCGCGCTGCGCTACGAACCCGGCGTGCCGAGTTCGATTCCCGCTCACGGCTAACAGCAGTGACGATTATCCGAACCGGTCCTGGTCCTCCGCTAGGTCGACTCAACCTCAAATGAGTACCTGGTGCTTCGTGTATTAAAAATCAGCACAAGTGAGACAAAGGCGGCCGGGTGTGGTGCTGGCCACCCACCCCCTCTCGTGAGCCGTGCCGGCCTTCATAGGTGCTCGCTAGCAACACTTGCCCCAGCAGTCTGTTAAGGCTATACGGGGGATCTTTGTCTTTGTTGCGTGTGTGTTTACGTGTGGATGTGTATAACCGGCGTTCATTCATTTACAGCCCGAATGGCCGGGAAACGCCGTTCCGGGAATTATGTTTGGCCGCTCCACATCCATATTTTACTTTATTTTGTCATCACAATTTGTGTCAACCTACCGTTCGGAGGATTATATGAATCAAGGGTGCAACAGTAATACGGGATTATAACGGATGGGCGAATGTTACACTCCAGTGGTAGTGCCGTACGCCGACATTCCCTACGCGCAGCGTTCCGTAAAACATCGAGGCGTCAATGAAGCGCTGTTGACCACGGTGAATCAGACGTCGTGTCCGTGGGTTGCGTTAGAAACCCAACTTCACCACTGACATCACCGAACACGCAACCGACATTGACAAATAATATTCACAAAGCAAACCGACGTTTCAGACATTGCTCCTTATCCAGATTGCGAGAAAAAAGCGCATTTGTAATCACAACCGGTTTGCGGACCTTGCCCGCCCTTCTACTCGATTGAACGTTGACACTCAACCAGACGCAAATTACTCGTTTCACTGATACGGGGCTCGCGTGCGTGTGTGCGAGCGTTTAGTCGCCGCAGACTAAAAGCGACGTGGAAGTTTAGGGCGAGTCTGCGCAATGAGTGGAACCAATCAAGGGCTGTGCTTGTTCCAAATGCCAGCTTCTCCACGGTCCTTTCTAGAACACTGATAATTGACATCGGTCGAGATGGCCTCTTTTGGATGAGAACAAAAAGTGAACACGAAAACGGGAGAAAGTAGTGTTAACAATAGAACCCATGGTAATGTACATACACGAACATATACACACACACATAGACGCACACGTGATGTACGACAGAAAAGTTAGATCAGTAGTCGTTAATATACCACCTTTATTTTACCATTGGTTAAATTAAGATTCCCAAATGTGTCTACAAATATGATGACGGGAACACTTTGATTGCAGGCAATAATGTCTATGTATACAGCAGCGTCGATTTTGAAGTCGCCGTGCAAGACACAGCGGGCACGTTTTAGACAAACACTCGCTTGAACAATTTATACCAAAACGAAATCAACTTTAAATTCACTTACAGCAACACAAAGTTGGGCCCTCTAAGCCATAAGGTTCAGAATGTCTGGTCCAGAGTCTTGGGTTACTTGTCTTAAAGGCACACTGGTGTAGGGTTCTGGGTCTCTGTTCTAGAGTCCTGGGTTCGTGGTCTGGGCTCTGGAGTCCCCGTTCCAGAGCCACGGATTCCTGTTCTAGACTCCTGGATCCCTGGTCTCTGGTGTGGGTCCCTTGTACCCGAAGTCCCGATGTATGGTATTAGATCCCTAACCCCTGCTATCGAGTCCTGGTGAGAGTTGCAAAAACCAAAGCACGTAGCAATATCCCTTACTTTTGTCATGTACATCAGTGCAAAATAAGTAAACCATTTTCAGGTAAAAGATGTTTTTGGTTAATTTTACGCAATTGACTACTGGTCGTCTGGCCTCTGGTCTGATGAGATCCCTGTTCCGTTCCAGAAACCCCTTCATGTGCGTTTCCGCAGCTCCCTGGTTTGCAGTTGCTGGTCCAGGGGTCCCTGACCCAGAGAGTTGAGCGAGCGAGCGAGGGTGAGAGCAAAGAGTCACTCACCCCTAGCAGTGATGCCGCCATCCCTTGGAGCGAGCCGCTGCTTCCACAGTCGCTTTCATGTGCGTCTCTCAGGCGCGCGCCTCAACTCACACGGTCCGGGCACCGGTCATAGGCCCAGCCCACTGCCACGCCCCCCCCCCACCGCATACACTCACACACACACACTCAAACACACTGACACACACACACTCAAACACACTCACACATACACACACTCAAACACATACACACACTCACACATACACACACTCACACACACATACACTCAAACACACGCACACTCACACATACACACTCAAACACACGCACACTCACACATACACACTCAAACACACACACACATACACACACACTCAAACACACACACATACACACACACTCAAATACACACACACATACACTCAAATACACACACACATACACACACACACTCACACATACACACACACTCAAACACTTACACAGACACTTACACACTCACACAGACACTTACACACTCAAACACACACACTCACACATACACACACTCAATCACACACGCACACACACCCTCAAACATACACGCACACACACCCTCAAACATACACGCACACACACCCTCAAACATACCTTCAAACATATACACCCCCTCAAACACACACATACATCTCAACTACACACACACCCTCAAACATACACACACCCTCAAACATACACACACACCCTCAAACATACACACACACCCTCAAACATACACACACCCTCAAACATACACACACACCCTCAAACATACACACACATACCCTCAAACACATACACACACCCTCAAACATACACACACCCTCAAACATATACACACCCTCAAACATATACACACCCTCAAACATATACACACCCTCAAACATACACATACACATACCCTCAAACATACACGCACACCCTCAAACATACACGCACACACACACCTTCAAATAGACACGCACACCCACAACACACAAACACACCCTCACACATACACATACACACATGCACATGCACAAAGACAAAGATTCCCCGTGTAGCCTTAAAGGACAGTAAGTGCTGTTTGCGAGCACCTATGAAGGCCAACACGGCACACAAGGGGGTGGGTGGCCATCACCACGCCCGACTGCCTTTGTTTACACACCGCACCAGGTACTAATTTGAGGCTGAGTCGACCTAGAGGAGGCCCGGGACCGGTTCAGATAATCGTCACTGATGTTGGCCGTGAGCAGGAATCGAACCCGTGTCGCCGGGTTCGTAGCTCAGGGCGCTAACCGCTACGCCACCGCTCCCCCATAATACACGCACGGGCACACACGCACGGGCACACACGCACGGGCACACACGCACGGGCACACACGCACACGCTGGCACACACGCACGGGCACACACGCACGGGCACACACGCACGGGCACACACGCACGGGCACACACGCACGGGCACACACGCACGGGCACACACGCACGGGCACACACGCACGGGCACACACGCACGGGCACACACGCACGGGCACACACGCACGGGCACACACGCACGGGCACACACGCACGGGCACACACGCACGGGCACACACGCACGGGCACACACGCACGGGCACACACGCACGGGCACACACGCACGGGCACACACGCACGGGCACACACGCACGGGCACACACGCACGGGCACACACGCACGGGCACACACGCACGGGCACACACGCACGGGCACACACGCACGGGCACACACGCACGGGCACACACGCACGGGCACACACGCACGGGCACACACGCACGGGCACACACGCACGGGCACACACGCACGGGCACACACGCACGGGCACACACGCACGGGCACACACGCACGGGCACACACGCACGGGCACACACGCACGGGCACACACGCACGGGCACACACGCACGGGCACACACGCACGGGCACACACGCACGGGCACACACGCACGGGCACACACGCACGGGCACACACGCACGGGCACACACGCACGGGCACACACGCACGGGCACACACGCACGGGCACACACGCACGGGCACACGCACAGGCACACACGTACAGGCACACACACAGGCAATCTTGTGTCTCCTTCACAATACGTACACACGCGCAAACACGCATGCATTTCATTACCCACTGCACACACACATACATACGAACACACGCGCACGCGCGCTTAGGCACCCTTGAATTTCATTATCCACCACGCACGTACACACACGTACACGTACAAAGATCCCCCGTATAGCCTTAACAGACTGTAGAGGCAAGTGCTGTTAGCGAGCACCTATGAAGGCCGGAACGGTACACGAGGGGGTGGGTGGCCAGCACCACGCCCGACCGCCTTTGTCTCCCTAGTGGCAATGTTTACACACCGCACCAGGTACTCATTTGAGGCTGAGTCGACCTAGGGGAGGCCCGGGACCGGTTCAGATAATCGTCACTGGTGTTGGCCGTGAGCGGGAATCGAACCCGGGTCGCCTGGTTCATATCGCAGCGCGCTAACCGCTACACCACCGCTCCCCACTACACACACATACACACGTACACACACGCAAACAGCCTTGCATTTCATTAACCACAGCGCACACATACGAACACACACAATTACCCACCACACACGCACACTCATACCCACACAATGACAAAGATCCCCCGTGTAGCCTTAACAGACTGTAGGGGCAAGTGCTGTTAGCCAGCGCATATGAAGACCGGAACGACACAAGGGACTCATTTAAGGCTGAGTCGATCTAGGGGGAGGCCCAGGACCGGTTAAAAAATGATCGTGAGCGGGAATCGAACTCGGGTCGCCGGGTCAGTTGCGTAGTGCGCTAAACTCTGCACTACCGCTCCCCAATCGGGATTAGGGCGATCTCCTTACCCACACATTCACTCACCCACCCACTTACTCACCAACGCACTTCACATGCACAGGGCATACAAGACAAAGATCCCCCGTGCAGCCTTAACAGAGTGTAGGGGCAAGTGCTGTTAGCCAGCGCATATGAAGGCCGGAACGGTACGCGAGGGGGTGGGTGGCCAGGACCACGCCCGACCGTCTTTGTCTCCCTAGTGGCGATGTTTACATACGCGCACACACAAAGCACATACACATTTACCCATATGCACGTAAACAGTGCACGCCCACTCAGCCATCGCTGAAACTTGATACAGTATGGTACTTTATCACTCACCGCAACAAACACGCGTAGACAAATACGCACAGAACCATGCACGCACGACCTAAATGATGTATAGATTGTTGGAGAAAGTTCTATTTGCGAGCACCTATTAAGATCAGGAGAAATACATACACACGCGCAAAACAAAGATTCCCTGTATAGCCTGAGCAGACTGTTGGAGAAAGTGCTGTTAGCGAGGACATAAGAAGGCCGGCACGGCACACGAGGGGGTGGGTGACCAGCCCCACGTCCGGCTGCCTTTGTCTCCCCAGTGGCGATGTTTACACATCGCACCAGGTACTCGTTTGAGGCTGAGTCGACCTAGGAGAGGCCCCGGTACCATTTCAAATAATCGTCACTGGTGTTGGCCGTGAACGGGAATCGAACTCGGGTCGCCAGGTTCGTAGCGCAGCGCGCCAACCGCTACACTACCGCTCCCCACTACGTACACACGCACACAGACGCAAATATAACCTGAATGTGAGTCCAACCACACACAGCACACACAACACAACACACGCCGTCGCCAGCCATCACCTCATCGAAACCCGCCCATCACAACGAGGGTCCATGATGTCATCACCCATCCCCTGACCGCGACTCACACCTGTGTGTGTGTACGTGTTCAGGACGCCCTGAATCAATTCCCGTGTGTTGTGCGCGTTTGTGATATTGCAACGGAGCGCACGCACGTGTTAATGTTAGCGGTGGTGTAGCTGCTGCCCTGCGACACGGGCTACTCGAGTTCGATTCCCGCTCACGGCCACAACACCAGTGAAGATTATTTGAACCGGTACCTGGGCCTCTCCTCGGTCGACTCAGCCTCAAATAAGTAACTGGTGCGGTGTGTAAACATCGCGACTCGGGAGATAAAGGCGGCCGGGCGTGGTGCTGGTCACTAATTCCCTCGTGCGTCGTGTCGGCCTTCATAGGTGCTCCCTAACAGCACTTGCCCCAACAGTCTGCTCAGGCTCTGCCGGAGGATCTCACAGCTGTCAACCCCTCATCAGCGCCCTACCTTATTACAGACCAATTCAGACCTTATTGGTCACCCCGTGCCCTTATAAATCTCAACGTTCATCCTACAAAGTCCCATCACAAGGGAGAAACACAAACAATAGACGCATTTTTGTTGCCCGCATTGAAACGGCTGCACGCCGTATGGACCTGAAAACTAAAATTCCCCCTGTACAAGAATACGGGGTAACCCGCTATAGGTTCATAGGCATGGGATCTTTGTCTTTGGATGAAGATGTATAACTGGTGGGGGTCTGTGCACCCTCCAGAGACACAAGTCCAAGTTCGACTCCCAAGTAATGCACAACAGTCGCGACCCGTTCTCCCAATGCACACCCGCTCCGCCTAGGTGAACTATCGGTTGTCATATCCGCTGGTCGGCGTTGTCGTCAGCAGCAGTACTCGAGATACAAAGGCGGTCGGGATGAGCAGATTTATCGTGGAATGTTCAGCCCTTAATATGCTCTCACTCACGGCGCGTACATGCCTCTTTATGTCATCTTCCAAGCACGACTTGTGTCCATGCACGCGTCAGTAAACATGATCATTTGTTTCGATTTAAAGCTTTCGTGACTGCAAGGATTCATCTTCTTTACCGAAAGAACCAAAGAAGATGATCAATTGTTTGTTAATTCGATCATTTTTACACGATACATATTGTTTTTGAATCTCTGAAATTTATTGAAAGTGGATATTTCGGCCAGCTGGAAAATACAGTTTTGTACAAAGGTGAGTGTGTTTTAATGTGATACGAAAGGTGAGTAATACTTGCTTGGTTATTTCAACAACAGCGTTGACACTGTGATGAATATGCAATACAGTGCAGTCTGGATGTTTACAGCATCTCAAGACGCCGTATACAGACACAGTGGCACTTTAACACGTAACAGGCTTTCGCGACCAATATTATATAGAACAGGGGTTATTTTTGGGT